AATACTATCACGGGTATACGTTTTATAACGAATTAATATATTTATGTTCAAAAATTATATTTGACCTTTAATTTTAATTTTGTATTTTATTAAAATTAATAATTAACATATATACTTAATTGCGAATTATATGGATGAACAAAATCCCTATTATGTGTGTAAGAGATTTCGGAACTCTTTGCTAAAATAATTAAAATTAAAAGTCAAATATAATTTTTGAACACTTTTATATTATTAAAAATATATAATTCGACTCTCGAAATATATTAATTCATTATAAAACGTATACGTATTAGTATTTTTCACATATTAAAATGATTAGAATAAATTAAATTAATTATTAAAAAACTAAAAATTAATTAAACGACTTAGACTTAGATGATAATAATAATGAAACATTTATTAAAAAATAATTATAATAGGTCAGGTTAATATTTTATTTATTTATTTATTTATAACATCATAAAATTCTGTCCTTTCCGAAATACGCGAACGCTACGAAAAGATAAATCTCGTACATGCCGCCGGACGAGTTCATGAGCATGAGACGCTCTTATCTTGGGAACGTATTAATAGTTACTGCATTGACCACTACTACGATATGGCGCTGAAATCAGTGAGAAATGCTGGTCTCTCCTTCATCCAGACCTTTGGCGATCTGTCTATTAATCTGTGATCATATCATACATATATATATCAGAGTCAGAAGCCCTTTCTCTGCTAATATATAGATTTAGAATGTAAAGCGATTATGAATTAAAATGTGCTCAATTAATGAATGAATCGAGTAATAAATTTAAATTGTAATTTAATATATGTAAGAAAATATTATATATATTATAAAAACAAAATATATTGCCGCAAAGTTCATGTATTGTTATTCATTGAGTGATGTTACCGACGTAGGGTAATCTTCTGAATTATTAGTATTTGTGATTATGCAGTTGGCAGCAGTGACTTTGATTCGAGTTGTGGAGCGCGCGCCGAATTCTTCAAGAAAGAATAACGCATTAATTTTGTGGATTTACTGGTAATTATATCCAAAATAATTATTATACAAGTCTTCTCTAGACTACTGAATTGCAGTAACGACAACTAATTGAAAAAGTAGGATATTTATCGTTGACTTTCGAGAGCATATATAATTAACCTTAAAAATTGATATATTTAAGTGCTTCAGAATATATACAAATATCTTAAATTATTTTAGAATATTTTAGATTGTTTTACTAAATAGAATATGTTATATATTTTATATATATATATATATATATATATATATATATATATATATATTATTAGTCGTTGTCGCATTTAGCGATATATAATACAAGATTTTATTAGAACAATTCAAGCACTGAAAACATAAATATATTATTAATTTTCCATATTAAAGTAAATTTTTTCAAAAACAAAGTTTCATACGAAAAAATTTTACTCTTTGTTATTTTCGACTCTTTATAATTTTGCAAGAGAAATTAATTTTTTAAATTGTACTACACTTCTCGATCCAACCTATATATTAATCCAAATTAAAACATTTCTTGAAACAAATTATCAAATATTATCATTTATATACAAAATACATATATCAAAGGTATTTTTAATCATGCAAAATTACAAACATCGAATTTTAAATTTGTTTCCCACATTCGCCTTTATTTTCATATTTTTTCTAAATATTATAAACAATTTACTTCTTTTGAAATATTTCGGAAGAAAAATATTTTTGAAAGAGATATTAATTTTTATTTTACACTGATATTTTATTTTAATAATAATAATCTTATTGAATGATTTAAGCCATTTCTGCAACATCGGGATGCTGAATGTTGGATGATGCATGCATATATGAGATGTTTCGAGAAGAAGGGCGAGATGAAAATTGAACGAGCACAAGATGGACATCGCGACGAATACGAAGGTATGTACGCTACATGACATGTTACATTTTACAACGTATACTTTATTAATTGCAATTACACATGTATGCGTTTGCATTCTTGCCCCACATGCAAATTACTTACACAAATGCTCCACAAAAGGAAAAAAAGAACGTTCCGACGTTTTCACATAGCCTCTCTCAGCGTGGCGTAATTATGTGTGTATATATATATATATATTTATATATATATATATATATATATATTTTATAGATATATTTTTCATTTATTTATATATGTATATGCGTGAAAGTCCATAAGAAATACTTAATCGCTACGAAACATTCATAATCTATGTTGTCATGATCATGGTCGATGTCGCATTTAAGCACTGATCGATCGATTGTTTTTCTTTTTTTTTTCTTCTTCATGCGATGTGTAACACTAATCTAGATCACAGTCGTTTCCGCTTTGCAGTCGAGTAAAGAGATGCGATTAATGCTTCGATGAGTGAGGATGGATGAGAGAAAGGGAGAGATAATAAGAGATAGAGAGTGAGACAGGCGGTGATTATCATTCATTCGTTACCCCGATTAAGCAAGCGATTTTCTTTTTCTTTTTTTTCCTTTTTTTTCTTCTTTTTTTTGTAGGCTCCGGCGAATAATGACACGAAAATTTAAAGTTACGTCGGCGCGTCGCTTATTTACAATGAAATTTGAGATCGCCTGGACCTATTTTTTTCTTTCCGCTGTCTACGAGGAAGGATGGAATAAGAGAGAATTTAATTTTTGTTCGAATATTCGAAATGAGGAAAAAAGTGGAAAGAATAAAACTTTTTTATTTCCTTCCACTTACTTATTTCCTTCATTCTAAAAATTCCAACAAAAATCGAATCTATTCTAATTCCATCTCTTCTTTACACAAGATTTTTCCCTTCTCGACCGTTTTTCTTTTACAATGACAATGTTACGATGAGGATGCGTGTTGCGTGTGCATGGTAATATTTACAGAAAATACGCGAATTCATATCGCATATACTCTCCCTTCCGGACTTTTAAGTATATCGTGTTGGCGACAAACGATGAGAGCGAGTGATTTCTGTTCTCTTTTTTTCCTCGTGAAAAAACGCATGATTGGATGATACTGATAAAGTGCCGATTATTGGAGCCGATTATTGAGAAGGAAATAAAAAATATCGGGATATGTGTTATTTTTTTTGTATCTTGTTCTGTTTTTTTTTTCGTCGGACTTTTTATTAACGAGAGAACAACAGTTGAATAGAAGTTAAATTGAGACTAGAACACTGGCTAGAGAGTAAAAAGACCATCTCTTCAATTCAAGTAAAGTCACAGTTTAAACGCAAAATGGAGAAAGGTAAATGGAAAAACAAAGATAGAGAGAGAGAGAAAGAGAGAAATAGAGAAAATAGGGAAAGGAAAAATTAGAAATTGGTTAAGAAGAGTAAACAAGTAGGATAAAGATAAAAATGAAAAGGCAGACAGAGAAGGTAGAGAGAGCTGGCGACAGAAGTGTTCGTATCGAAGTTCGATCGGTGAAGAATTACTATAGTCGGAATAGTGAAATAGAGACGGAAATAGATCGATAAATCGATAAATAGATAGGTAGACAGATAGACAGAAAGAGTGAGAGATAAAAAGAGAGAGAGAGAGATCATTTCATAACAGTCCTAATCTAATTAGTAAGAGTATAGGAGAATTACCAATAGTAAGAATAACCACGATAATCATAATAATTCTAACGTCGTTAGCATTGATAAGTATAATATAATAATTTGGAGGTTTTTTTACTTTTGATAAAGTTTCAAATTCCCCGTGTTTTTTGTTTTCTTTTCTTTTTTTTCCCACTTTCGCTTCCTTTTAAGGGCTTAAACGAATCTCGCTCGCGCCTGACTTTCCGCTCTCGTAGAATCTCGTCACGATCGCGACGGAAATTATCATGTATACGGTGTGTGTATAAGGCCGCGTTTACTTAGTCGGTATTGATATACATCATCGTGGCGATAAATCATACAATTGTATCATTGCACTTTACTGGTCATTGCGATATCAGTGACGAAACATTCAAGCAATTGCAATAATGCGCTCAGGCTTCTGAATTTTTTTCTTTTATATCCTGTTTGCTTCTTCTCTAATATATAAAATTTTCAGTATTAAATATCTTGAAACATAGAGCTTAATTAGAATTTCGAATAAAAGATAAAATTTAGTTTAATTTATTAAAATATAATTTTTCAAACTCTTTAATTTTTAATAATTAAAGAATTAATAATGTTGAGAAATTGTTTTTTATTTAGATTTTTTAAATATTTGTGACTGTCGGTTTTAGTAATTTTCGAAAGTTTATTATTGTAAGAAAATTAAGATAAAAAAAGATGTAAGTATAAAAACGAGAACAAATTCCGAAGCATGAAAGAAAGGTATTTCTGTCAGGCGTCATTATGCATTTCACGTAATATTTGCGATATAAGGAAAGAAAAATTTCAATTCGAGTCTAACAACATAGTCTTAATCCAATGTCACTGCAAGCCGCAACGTGTCAAAAATAACATAACATTTATAAAACTGTATTTTACATTAACTTTTTTCCTTGGGCGTCAAGAACATATAACAGTGTAACGAAATTAAAAGGATCTATGTATGGAGTGTGTAATATTTATCTCATTCTTTAGCAAATTATATGTACTTGTTAATTTCTGGCGAGAGAGAGAAAGAGACAGAGAGAAAGAGAGAGATAATTGGAAAAAGAGAGAGAAATAGAGAGCTAGAGAGAGAGAGAGAGAGAGAGAGAGAGAAACAAAAAATCAGAGAAAGATTGAGAGAAAAAAAGAAACTCGCCTTTTTTGGTCGCCCTATTTTATAAACGTGCAATGCATCAAAAAATATGCTGTCAAGTTCGAAAGTCGACGATAAAAAAATTATAACATCGTCTCTAGAAATTTGCTTTTGCCGCTTGCACATACGTCGGTACAGAAAGTACTGCCGAGTCATCTCATTATGCAATCTCTCTTATACTTATTGCAACTTGAACGCATAATCGAGCAATTAAAATAAAGAATTGTTTAATCCGTGAGATTTACACGCTTCGCTCTCAGCTTCGTTTTTTTTTGTCTCATATAAAAAATTTACTCTTTCCCATTTCGCCATTAGTATGTACAAACGAATGGTAAATCCCTCCTCCCTCGCTTCGCGTTTGCGCGACTGCTCTACATTTCTGTGTATGTCTGTGTGTACGTGTGTTTGTATGTGTATTTTCATATCCTCTTTTACGGTTAATTTTATAACTGCCTTACTCATCGAAGTAGGATGAAAAATATGTATCCGCCACTAATAATAATCAGGTAGTGAATAAGAAAATGATTGATGTCGAACAAAAACTCTCTTGTTATTATGATTCCCTGAAATGACGTAATTACTTATTTAAAATAAACCATATACGTAGATCTCTAAAAAAATATTGATTTGCCAAAAATAAGTTTTATCTCAATTATGAGTTTAAATTTCAAACAAATTTCGTATTTGTATCAACTTGATTATGTTAGTTTTTTTTTCGATTATCTTATTCTGGAATTATTTTACATATACAATGGAATGATTCTTCTTCATATTTGAGGTAGACAGAGAGAGCTCAAAGAGCTCGATGGTTATAAAGGCGATTAGGATTTGTCTCTCGCGCATTTAAAAAAAACACAGAAATAATAAAAATAAAAATGGAAAATTGACAAATGAAAATAGACGAAATATCTCGCAATGTAAAATAAATAAAATTCTTAAGGGACGTACATTTTTCATCCTGCCTCGCTGTTATACTTTCGCGTTTGATGCACTTTCAAGAGTTTATATCAAGCTGAATAAATATCCATTAATATATACGAACGTTATATCGTGAAGTTTTGAAAATATACATGCGCCTCGTGATCCAGGGACAAGGCTCTCTTGCATTGTAAACCTACATAACACTTGTCTTTTATAGGACGTTAATTAGTATCATAACGACGACAATGACAAAAAAAAATTGTTTTAATCAAAAAAAGAGGATATATATATTTCCTCCCTGTCGCGTAATTAGAGCAAAATCGAAAACGATTCAGTGCCTAACCCACGCACGATTCGTTTATATATTTCGATCCTGAAAATTATTCAATATCTCAAGAGCGACTCCCGACAGCGAAAATCTGTAGCAAACCCGATTGAGAATTATTCTCAAAATGTTGAGACTACTAGAAAATTTCACAACATATTTCGCGAGAGTTACTCTTAAAAATGAAATATTCTCAACCGAACACACATCAATTTTATACACATTAAAAAATTTTATTCTGGCGAGACATTAATATAGTTTTCCTATGATTTTTTAATTAAAGAATTCTTCCTTTATTGTCCTTGTAATGTTAAAATAAAAATTTTAACGCTCTTTAATAAATGACGAATTCTTCGATTATCTCTCTCGACTTAATTCTCGCCAATAAAGTTTCTCACTGTGCATATAATTGCTCTCCTTTCCCTTTCCTCGTTTGCAAATAAATAGTTAATTTGTTTGTATATGTAGTAATTCGCGAATGCTATCACATTACCGATATCTAGCATGAATTCGTATAATGTGATGCAGGTAAAAAATACAACGTGCTACTACGTTCACTGCTTCTGGTTGTCGGCGACCATTCAATCGCGACTAATTAATAATATGCTGAAACTTGTTTGCGTGTATGTTTAATAAATATAGTACCATCGGAAAAAACTATGAAAGGTTACGCTAGCAATGTATCACAAGTTTTGACCCGATTAATCTTTTAAGCTCTATTAAAGTCTAATATTTATAGCCATTCGGGAAACTTATTAATTGAGTTCTTCATGAATTTTAAATTAACAGTATAAATCAAATTTATCATTTTGATGTATGTGAATAACAATTAGTATTCTTATACAGAGTGCCCAGAGCCTCGAAGAATATATTAAGACAGAGATGAATATAGAATATCGATCACCGATTTTAAGCGACAATTTGCAAGATATTTTAACTATTAAATTTTCAAGGATTAATTTTAAGTTAATGTTAATTTCTGAGAGATTTTTAACGAGGCTCAATTGCGATAAAGTTTTTAATGCTGAAAATTCTTACACTGGAAAAATCGACTCTATATAGATTCACAAGAGAGATGAAATATTTCTCTTCTTCATTTCACTTTGTGTCTCTTACTTCTAATCGCAAAGGAAACGTCTCTTCCTCGTTTTCCGTTTCACGAAAAGTTTTTTTGTAACGAAACAAGAAATCCGCTCGAATAGCAGACGAATGGTCGTCCAACAGATAACAGCGATCGTACCTAACAGTTGAAAAAATATAGTTGATCGCGAAATTAATTCGATAAGCGGTTTCGACAAGTCGTGTATCCCTTTCCTTCCCGTTTCTTACTTTTCCGTGACTTTTTCTCGAGATTTTTCATATTATTCCTGTCGCGCTCCCCCCGTATTCCACATCCAAGTAACGTTGCAATCGACCCGAGAATCTTTCCTAGTTTTTTATTTACGCAAAATACGTGTGTGTGCCCTTGCTTTTATCCTTCGACAACTAAATCCGCAAAACCAACTCGCGGTACACAGACTAAGTAGGAAAAATCTCGTATATTCTGTGTTCTGACAATTCAGCTAATATATATATATATATATATGTATATATGTATATATTAACGACGTTAGTCTGACACATGCAGACCACGACAAAATGTACGAATATCTCATAATTACACGTTGCATATGTGTGCATGTGTACGTTTATATACATATACCTTTGTAATATGATTAGATATATCTACGCGTTTACTCTCTCGTCTATATCGTGCTTATTTCTCGCACACAATCAGCCTTTCCGAATAGTATATTTCGACTATGTTTTCGCTATTACCTGAGATCAAACATAATCGGTCAATTAAAACGAATTTACAACGAGCTCGCGTAATTCTTAGCACGCACATTACGACGTCTAATACGTATTATTACTGGAAATTCGAAAAAACTATGCCTAAGTAAACGGAAATATATCAGCAATTAGTTTTTTCAATCGTGATCAATCAATAAGTAATTCTTTTAATATTAGTTTTGGAACTATTGAAAATCTCGAAGAAAATCCGCAATAAAATTGAACCGATCTCGCGAGACGATAAGAGCCAACTGATCCGATCGATTGCATCGTTTTAATCGTTATCATTCGTTTATATGGACAAAACTCTAGATCATCGTACTGTCTATAGGGTACTGGCTATGCCTTTAGAAATCTTGCCCCGTTCGCATCCCCTTATTTAGACGAAGGAACGTACTAGTCGAATGTAAGATTTTTTTTACTGGCAGAGTGCTAGAAACAATAACTAGAACCAATTGCTGGCTGAGCCAAATTTTGTAGAAAGACCGCCGATGCCCTTGCCGAACATGCTACCGACTTTGCCAACAACATTTGAGGTGACGTTACTCAGATTGGCCACATAATTCGCGTCTTCCGTTATCGTCTCAACGATCGTCACTTTTGTCTTAGGTCTCTCCACCTCATCGTCATTGCCATTCTCCGAAAATCCTCTGCAAAAAGAACAGCATTTATTAGTAATTTTCTAAATAACAAAATTTAGATAAATTAATTAAATAAATTGTGAATATTAAATTTTTTTATATGTTCGACGGGAAAAAATCTTATTTTGCGCGCAAAAAAAAATATATAATACATTTTTTATATTATCTTGCAAGTTCTACTAAATATATTTTTAATCTTATTAGAGTTAAAAAAGCTTACTCTTCATTCTGAGCGCTCATGTTTAAGGCACAAGTTGCTTCTTCCGTCTTCATCCTTTTGTCTATAGTCTGATATGTCTTCGTATTGAGTTTCTCCTCCATGACACCCTGCAGCTCAAAGTCCGAATAGATCTTTTTCACGATGTGAGCTAGACAGGTACACTGATGCAGATGCAGGCTATGATCAAGCCTCTCGGACAACCAATTACATAACATTTGTATCTGTGCCGTATACCATTGCTACAAATTAAATTAATTTAATTAGCAAAATTTCATTCAATAATACAAACGAATTAGTAACGTGCCAATTTTTTTAAGTACAATTATAAGTAGAATTGAAACGCTTTTTATCTTGTTGTTTAAACCGACTCGACTCTTACCTCGAAGAAAGTCAAGATCCATAACTCGTCGAGGACTTTGCTACGAATCTGATCCATACAATTTCTCATGAAGTTCACGTAGGCTTGTCCCATTTCCTTGCCGCTTCCTGATACCTTCTAAAAATGAATTGTAAAATATTAAGTTGTTAAAAAGTTCCGATAATTCTTCAAGTTTATGTTGTCACTCGAATCACACCTCGGCTTTTCGACAAATAATCTATTACTGAACAGTATAAGATATAAGAAAATTAAGAATGGTAGATAATATATATATTATTAAACAGAACGAAATACCGTAAGACTGAGAATAGAGCCGATAATGGAACCCTCGTCGTAACGAGACAACTTTGACAGCGTCGCGTCCAATACTGTTATTAACTTGTTAATCATTCCTTGATTCATTCCTGCTGATGTTTTTTCAATCATGTCATCAATTTTAGAATGATATTGATGCTAAAAACATGAACATTAATTATATGATAACAATGTAAAATATATTTATCTGAATGATTATAATGTTAGCACGTTTTACCGTTACGGCAATTAACAATAAAACAATATTATTTTTTAACAAGTTTTTTATTTTTTAATATATAAATATATATATATGCATATGATTGATTCTCGACAAAAAATCGGTCCAACACGATATTAATACAATGGTTGCGACAGAATTTATATAATATGTAAAAATACTTAATATATTTTTATATACATTATAAATTCTGTTGTAATCGTTGTATTAGAAATATTATATCGTGCTGGATCGATTTTTTGTGGAATCGTAAAATAAAAAACTTATTAAAATAATCTTTTTACTATTAAATTCTGTAACAGCAATGTGCTATATATTTTTACACATAAATTCTGTCATATATTAAAAACAGTCATATATTAAAAATATAATATCGTGTTGGATCAATGTTTTTCTCGAGAATCAACGACCGTGAACTTACCACATCAACACCATCGACAGTACAAAGCTTAAAACTCTGATTCTTGGCATCCAAAATAACGTTCACCATAGCGCACATTTCCGACGGTATGATGTAATCGGTCGAGATGAAGGTCACGCCTTTCTTCAGCCACTGCTGGAAGGCCGCGTCGGTCCTTTGTATGCACGACTCCACCATATCGCAAGCCATCAGTTTCAATCTCTGTTCGAGATGTTGCCTAAACTCCTGATCGGGCCAATGCAGCCCGCCGATGAACGACTGCAACGCGTCCAATTTCCAAAAGAGATCCTCCGAAGTAGCGCAACCGTTCCCTTTTATCTCCCATCTTTCCTTCTCGAAACCCTTATGGATCGATTGAGCGATCGATGTCTCCATCAGATCCACGTAGCGCACTACTAAAGGTGCGAACGTGTCGCGTAGATGCTGGTGAAATCTTCCGTTCTTCAAATTGTCTATATGCAAATTAAATTTCGCTATTATCTAGAATCTTTAGATTATAGATTTAAAGCAGAGGAGATTTCTAACATCTGAGAACTATTAAAAATGTAATAGAACAAATTTTCAATAAAAAGATCTAAACTTACCGTCCGTCCTAAGGTAATCGTTCATTATTTGAAACAGTGGAAAACTGTCCCATGTGTCGGGTGGCTGTTCCGCGAGGACTTTGTCCATGTCGACGGCAAATAGCGACCAGAAGATCTCGGCGTGCTCCACCATAAGATCGCTAAACCAGGCGAACGCCTGCGGTACAGTGTAGTAGGAGTGGACCGTGAAAATATTATACGTCGCACATATACGGTGGGCATGTTTCTTCCAGCTCGGGGTGATGGGGACGCCACCCTGAGCACGAGGCCCTCGAGTACCCAGAAGACACTACTTCTACTTCATGATGTGCGTGAGATCGTAAAACTCGTGACGCTAAGCGACAAGCGTTTGCTGCAGCTCGAAGTTTCGTAATTCGATTCGAACGAGACGTCGAGAATATCGCGATTGAATATCGATGAGACTTGCTTCGTTTGCGGAAGGTATCTAATGAGAAGTGACAATGAAACTAAATTCAAACTAAACGCAGCAACGTGTAGAGTAGACTAGAATAGATGCATCAGTAAATCATTTAATTCCTTTGCTAAATCAAAGTATTAATTTTGTAATACATTTTTAATATTAAAATAAGAATTAGTCAAAATTATAAAATTTATAATTGCAAATAATTGATTATTTTATACTATATTTGAAAACCAGTAATAAACACTGATTGATTTCTTTCTGGTCTCCTTATATTCTTTTTATTTAAAAATATAATTATATTTTAGACGCACAAAAAATAAATTTGGACCAGATATTTTTTTACTGATGTATCTACCCTGCATTGTTTTGTGATATGTTTGGTGATGTATATATACATATGGTATATGTGACAAATTAGAAAACGTAACGATACAAAAAAATAAAGACATAGTGTTGCTTTTTTGTTCTTCCGCCAAAAAAAGTAATCTCTCGATTACAAAAGGATACTCACGATGTCTGCGATTCAGCAATTATTTTAAGCGAAAGCAACTTTCGCGATGATACCAGAAGCTTTCTACGTGACTATATCTACGCGATTGAGGTCTACGACGAAAAAAAAAATGGCGAAGGCGCGTTTTTGTCTTCTGAGGAGGTGGCGGACCCTTACCAAGTCCGTGTATCAAGGCATGCTGACCCTCTCTCTCGAGAACCCCGCGTATGGACACTCAGTTCTAAAAACCCAACTAATACCTCCGAATAATGTTCTTCATTTTGCTGCAGCAGGTCCACGCACAGCTCGGCGAGGTGTATGAGATCCTCCAGCTTCTTATTAGGAGGCACGCACACCTCGCCGCTCAAATCGTCTTCAATCTTCGCCTCGGCGGACAATTTCGTGTAATTAACTAGCGCTGCCGTTTCCAGGCAATTTTTTATCAACGCTTTTACTTCTTCTTGTGGTACAGGCGTTACGCTATCTTTCATGAGAACACGTTCCAGCAGAGATAAAGTCGCTTTCAGTGCACCATCCGGACGTCCGAATGGAAAACCGTACCTGTTGCGAGGCAAATCATATTCATGAATTAATCTTTGAGAAAACAATTATTTTAAAAAGATTATTTATCAAACAATCCATTTTTACGAGTATTTTCATTGCAACAACTCTATTATCACAGTATGTGCATTAATTTCTTTTCTAAATAAATCTATGCAAATTATTATAAAAATTAGTGCAATAAAAATTTAAAAAAATTGTTTGAAGAAAAAAAAAAATTTTGTAAGATATAAATTAATATAAATGATATAAATAACATTATAAAGAAAAGTACTTTAGAGCTAAATAATAACAGATGCGAATAATTATTTATAATAATTATTTGTTACATTTTCATACACAACATAGAACAATATTAGATTTATTTACCTAAAGTTGGTGATTTGCTTCTCAAGAATCTGTCTCAGCCGTTCTTTAATTTCCTGAAATTTATCTTTCTCTTCATGAGTGATCGAGCCCACACCATCGGCCGACGTGGTATTACCGTAGACATGAGTGGCACAAAAGGCAAAGCTAAAGTGTATCAATGTTGGATCTATCATAAGCCCACGATCGATTCTGTCCAACAGATCGTGAAGATAGGAAAGATGCCGAAAGCACAAACGTACGCCGTATCTATTATCAGAAAACAGACTCTCAAATTAATATCGCATAAGAAAAATTTCATGAAAAAGAGTTTCATATTTCAATTTTATGTGCGTTTATATGTGTGTATCAATTTGATGATATTTGCAAGTGATTTTGTCGACGTGCTTTTTAAATTTATAAACTACTGTGCGTTTGATTACAAAATATATAACAGTCTCTATTTGAACAATATCAACAAATGTCCGCAAATACCGCAAATGGGCAGAGTGACTGAGAATGGACAAATACGAGCTTCATTACCTGGCGCAATACTCGTCCAGCACAAAAACTTGACCGGGTGAGAACCAGCCGAGCGAGCAGTAGGGATCGTTCAATCTGTAATCCAGGATCAAGTTTTGCAGATACTTGAATAGGGCGTGGTGATCAAACTTGCAAGGGTCCGCGCTGATGTAGTCCTCCATGCCGTGCTTCTTCGCACGATCGGCGTCGCCCTGAATCTTGCTGATGGTGGAGTTCTTGTCGGCCACAGAGACCGGCGGGGTGGGCTTGTGCGACTGACCGGTCGCCCGGTACATCGCCATTACCCATAGATGACATTCGTTTTCGTCATCCGAGGCATACACTATATTGTCGCCTTCGCGCACGGCGTTGAAAAAGTACCTGTCGGATATACGCAACTCGTAATTGCGAATTGTGCGAATGTGCGACCGGAGCCCGACGCACGATCTTTGTCAGCTAGCTGCGAAATATCTTGCTCGATCATATTAGAAAATATCAATACAAAAAAAATTGAACATTTAACGAGCTGTTATTAATACAGCTACTAATAGAGCTCTATATTCGCTTTTATCTCTAGTTTTTTACTGGCAAAATTAATTTAAAATTAAAATTGTTTAACGAGCTGCTGAGTTGCAAAAATATTTATAGCGTGGCCTTACAATAATAAAAACAATTCTATTATATTTCTACTATACGTTAATGATAAAAATTATCTGAATAAAAATTTAATAATGTGTCTTGATTAACACGAAAAACAAAATTTGCATTTTGCAATCTTACAATTCTGCATGAGAAAAATTAAGCGCTTAACAAGGTGTACTAATAAAGCTCTATTATCTTGTAATTTTCTACTTTTCACTATAAAATCATATTTTAATCACGTAAAAAATATATAATCATATCACGTAAAATAATATTTTATAAAGCGTTGCTGATTTGATGAGAAAAAAGTTGAATAATGTGTGATTATAAAAATAAAATCAAAATTAAAAGAATTGAATGAAATGACTACGACTAGTGATAAAAAGGATCTGACTAAAAGATTGATACCGTGACGAATTATAATGAACGTGTCTGATATAAACTAACGACAAACTTGCAATTTGCAATTTGACTTGTTCTGCGCGACTACGAGCATGCTACTACGGCGGGGTTTAGGTATTTCTCGCTCTCTCTTTGCGGGGGAGGAAAATTTACCTTCCGCCCTCTAAATCCATGCCGACCATGAGATTAGCAGAAACGGCCTCGATATAGTCCACTGTATAGCCATCGAGCTGCATCATTTCCGACGGCTCGCTTTTTTTCTCTTTGTACGAGCACATCGCAAATGTGTACTGCGAGACCTGGACCAAAACAAAGTACCGCTTCTTCCACTTTTTCCATACGGACTTGCCCATCGCGTACAGGTAGCCGCAGTGCTTCATGTTGAGCGGCTTGTCCATGCGACAGGCGATCTTCATCCTTAGATCCTGATCGGCGCAATTCTTGGGCACGGTCATACGATGCCATTCGGGCACCTTGCAAGACAACGGAGTGGGTCGCAGGATCACCTTGCCCAGCTCCTTGTCCTCGAGCGCAAGCATCGCCGGATTCTCCGTGTACAGTCTGACCTTGACCACTGGCAGCGGGTGCATCGTGCTGAAGTCACCTTGAGTATCCCACCTATAAATAGGACCCGTGGACGAGAATGATGCGATCGGTCCTGACCTCCCAGTCGGTTATTACGATCCGGAGTTTCGATTTTCATGATCGATTCTCTCTTTTTGATCTTTACTCACATAGGCTTGGAGGCTTCAGCCTGATCGGTCTGTAGCTTCTCGCCGCCCTCCACTTCCATGGTGCAATAAACTATTCTATTGGGTGCTAGGCTTTTGAGGCCCTTGACCTCCATTACGACTACTTCCAGTTGGAAGGTCAGGCCGACGTCCATTTTCGTCAGCTGGGGATCGGAATCGGCGGAGTCGCCCTCCAGTTTTGCGAGGGAGCCCTGACCGCGGCAGCGGGAGCGCTCACCACGATGGTTGTAGCGCTTCAGCTTCTGCAGCCCGTATTTGCTGTCTATCGAACCCTTGGAGACCGGTAACGACTCCAAATTAGCCATTAGCAGGTTGATAGACGACTTGAGCTCCTCGATGTAGAGCGACTCCATCTCTTTCAGAAGGAACCTGGGCATGAGCTTGCGGTTCTAAGGATAGAGAAGGAACGGTCGGTGTTCAGGAACGAGCAGAAGCGATCGGTGGACAATAAGAAACAGATAGAAAGAACGAATCCATGTCCGAAATCAAATGGCATTAAAGTAAAACAAAATGAGCAAAAAGAAAATGAAGAAAAAGCAACCGTCACGATACCTTCTCCATCTCGTTGACCTTCTGTACACGACCGTCCAGCTCCCTCCTGATGGCGGCAGCCTGTTCGTCGGCTGAGTCCAACAGGAGGGCGTTGAACAGAAGCTGGTGCTCGAATTTCTTGATGCCGAGAATCTGCTGAAACATGTCGTACAGCTGCTCCTTCGATAATATCAGCTCCGAGTTCAAAGACTGCTGTTGCATCCTGGAAGGCCGTTTGGTGTCCTCGTCACCAGTACCTTTCAAAATGCAATCAAATTTGGCCAACCAGGACGTAAGCACAGTCTCTTTGCTCAATCCGTCGATTTCCGGGAGGCTCCGAACACGCTTCTCAATGTTCTTCTTAAACACCTCGCGGAAGTCGAGCTGGGAGCATGCGCCGCTCTGCACCATTCGTACTACTCGATCCGACTTCAGGAATACGTCGCAGTAATTCTGTATGGCGTTGTGGAACGCTTCGTCGGCTATGATCTGCGTTTCACCCTTCAAAAAACTCTGCAAATCACACGGATGTGTTTTAAACGATGTGTCACATTTTTCTTTCAAATTGGAAAACTGCTCTCTTGTCGAGCTGCAATATTATAATATCATTCTAAATCTTATAGATTCTCTTTCGTTGATTTCACAGATTCATATTTCACAAGGCCAATCTTATATCATATCATTATATTCTTAGATGTAAGAAATATTTCAATGTTGTTATAAAAATCTGATTTTTTTTGCCTAACGATAAATGCAGAAAGAGAATTAATATATGTACATCACTCGGCACGATATAAGATGTGAGACACGATTGCGTTGGTATAAGGGAGACAATCTATATTTATAACGGCCAATAATTTAATACGATCGTACAGCTTCGATATATCTAAGAGCAACGAAGGTGAAGGTTACACGATAGATACCTATAAGACTCTGCATAAGGCTTCGATAAACGGCCATTCGCCACGAAAGGTTTCTCTTACTTCATAAAATATTAAATACGTAATACGAGTACGATTTGAGCAATATTCATGGTCAAATAAAACATAAATAGATTGTTAGCAGTAATAATGTACTGACAAATTTAGTATCTTCTTAGTAGATTTTTTTACACGATACTTTATTCTATATTTTTATATTATTTTTATCCTATTTGTACTTGTGTTTATATTTAATTGAAAATTTTATTAATTTCTTTATTCAAGAAGACATTTATTGAACTGTTTACCTGAAAACGAGAACATATAGTCTCCAATTGTTGTTTCGTCACTTTCATCTGCCTTCGTGTCATATCCATCGGTTGCTTGGCATTGAACGGATAAGCGATGCATCTAGATATGAAGACGTAAAGCTGTATCCGAGTTTTCCTTTCTTCTTCTTCCCTTTCTTGCTTATCCTAAGGAAAATGAGAAAATTCGTATCGAATACTGCGCGTATTGTTAGAAAAATTATCATCCAATTTCTCCTCTTGGAGAAAATTGGGCCAAAGAAAGTTTCTTATAATTTCAGTCATTGTTCAATACTTTTTTCAATGTTAATATATCGATTTCTCTTCTAAATTCTCTCATATATTATATTTTCTAATATGAATGACTTTTCATTATTTCATATAATATATCATTTTTTAACTGGAAAAAAAATGTGGCAAAAAGGAACTCTTGAATGGCAGAAACGGAAATAGAAAGAAATCCTCGAGTATGCATTTGCGCGCGTACTTGCAACTCCGCTTCTGTTTTCTCGCTGGCGACCGAGGGAGACGGACTGGTGGGCCTCTGAGCATAATTAGCTGCATCTTGAGCAGCACTCATCGATGGCGACAGCGAGTTCCTGGCACTGGAGAGATTAGGCACATCCAAGCCGGCTCCGGCGGTATCTTGCGGGCCAGCGGCGGCGCGGCTTCCGGATCCGTGGGCACCTGCAGTGCTGGGTGGACCCACGTGGTTCGGACCCCCGGGTGAGGCGGTGAGGCCCGAGGCGAGGGAGCCGACACTTCCGGAACCTGGACCACTGCCGATGCTACTGGGATGACGACGGGAGCCGTGCGAGCTGCCGCTGCCGGCACGACCGCCACCACCGCCGCCGCCATGATGAGTGCTCTGATCCTCCTCGCTCTCCTCCTCGGACGAGCTTGGATCTATCATCGTCTAAGAAGGAAACGCTCTAAGGGGGTGCGCACGCGGTCCTCGAACCCCCCCGTCACAGGAGGCCCAGCCGCTTCACCTGGTCACGGAGCCGTCGTGCTCTGCTTTCGGTAGTGTTGATCACGCGCTCTTTTAAACTGAAAGAAAGAAAAATAGTATTTATTTTTATTGCATTAGAAAGTGATTTGCATGTGATCAAGATAACATTATAAGATAATGAATATATGATAATAAGAAAGATATATGTGTTATTAATCAGACTGTGTGCTGGGGAAAACAATACGTACACGCTGAGAGAAAGGCATGAACAACCGCAATTCCATTAATAATGAATAGATCACTATAATTAATCTCAAATATTCTAGGAAAGAAAATAACATTTAAAATTGTTATTTTTTATGTGATAGTGTTTCTGTGTTTTATGTGCTTTTTCTTCTCTGCTTTTTATATTTTATTTAAATTAAAATTGCATAAAACGTGGCTGTGTAAAAAAAACATCCTTGAATTTTCAAATTCTTTGCATAAAATATTTTTTCAGTTTTTTAAATAATATTTAGTTTTCATAATTGAAAAGGAGAGAAATTTTAAACAGCATTTTTTTCTATTTAGCTGAATATAATCAATAATAAAAAGTGGACTTGCACCCAATTATAATATGACACCAATAAAACTATAATGCACTTTAATAGTTAATCGCGTTAAACTTGCAGCTTAAAATGCAGTTGAAGATTAATACATTTTATATTAGAAAGTAAAATCGCTATAATTCCTTTTCTTTTATACAAAATCGGATTATTTCGTTAAACGCACAGTGAGTTTAATTATTAAATTATAAATTTCTAATTAAGTATAAGGCAAATTAGGGTCACCGCTGAATTAACCATTGCTATTATTACGTCTATTATGTCTAACATGAGCACAGAACTTGCGTGTTAGACGTAGCGGCGGGATATCTGCACGCAATTTCCAGTCGACTTTTCGCACAAAGGTGCAATTCGATGCAAGCTGCTGCTCGCGTAATTGCAGACCGTTGTACGCAAAAGCGAAGAAAATTGTTTATCCTAATTCCGTTGCGCCGTCACGCGAGAAATAGCTATTTGCAATCCGCCAGCTTTTGGGATCGTGCGAGCTTTTACTGCTCCCGAAAGCTCCGAAAGCCTTAGACGCGAAAGCCTTTGAAAATCTTTAATTCCATTCGCCAATTAAGGTGCTGAACAAAAGCCTGAGAATATATTTTTCACTGTCGAGACACGTTCGCAAGCCTCGGTTCGACAAAAGTGACAGCGAAAAAATCAGTCACGCATTCCCGCAGGAATTTAATCCTTGCAACCTATCGAAAAGGGAGACAGCTGAATTTATCGACTTACGGGGTACTTTGTACGGACAGCGAATGATTCTACCTTAATTATAATTGATCGTTTGAAAAGTCCCCTCTAGCTTCTCTTAAAATGCTATCGGATTACTTCAGGCAGGCTTGAATCGACTCTTTTACGAGAATTTATAGTGGTTGGTGCATACAAAGACTAAAGGTTTGTGTAAAAGAGATATACGAATTTTATGCGACTATAGGATTTAAAATGTATAATCTGAAAATTTAAAGTGCCAGAGATCTGAATATTCTGTGATCTAAAGGTTTATGAATATACAATTTAGAATGACTGAAAATGGAATGAATGAACTAATATTATTTGTATATTATTTTCATTGCGATTATATAAAGAGGAATTATAATTGAAGACATGTTATTCATTATGTGATACGTTAAATTAACCAACATTTATAAATTAAAAAATATATTTTAAATATTTCAGTAATATTTTAATAATCTTTAGTATTTTATTATATATATAACAATAAATATTGAAGATTATTACTAAAATATTTAAGAATATTAAAAAAATAGAGAGACAGAGAAAGTTACATACTGATTTATAATTTATTATATTCTCTATAATAATTGTTAATTAATTTTTATTTGCGTTTTATTAAAAAATGCATTATCTTATTTTTAAATAGAATTATGACTAATTAACACCTGCCGTGCATCTTTTGCTTATAAATTGTATCGAACGAATTTATTGAGCTTTTCAGTAGGATAAATCCGTTCTCGTGTTTACTGACATCATAATACTCTCCAATTTCGCGTAGAACGGATCGTGGGCTACGAGTGGTAAAGCTTAATTGCATTTAACCTCTTCGTATGCGCGATACAAGTCCATCGATAATTGCACTGGCTCTTTGATGCGTGCACGTAATAGTACACACAGTATTTCGCCCACACACGCACACAAACACGCGTGCATTCTCTCTCTCTCTCTCTCTCACCCTCTCTTGCGTGTGCATGATATGTGTCATATTCGATTTAAATTGCGTTTCAACGAGAGATAAGAGATAAGTCTTCAACTTACTATCAGCTTTATTAATGTGAAAATGCATAATATTGTTTTCAAATGAAACATAATTTGTAGATATATTTGCAGAACAAGTCATATTTCAATATTAACTTTCCCATTTAGTAAACTTTAAATAAAGTCTATTCAATTAATGTTGAACTGGAACTAAAGGAAATATATAAAATTATACTTCTGTTTCTCTCCTCTAAGCTTTACTCGCAATAAAAAAAGAGAGATAGAAATAGATAAATAGATAAATAGCGAGAGAGAAAGAAAAATATATTTTTACATTTTAAACGTTTATTTTAAATCTAGAATATATATTCCTCTATACGAGATAATTATTTTCTAATTAGCATATATTAAAGTTTTTCTCTTTTAAAGGTCTGGATGTTCTAAAGTATCTTAAAATTCAAATAACGTTTATAGCACAACGTGTATTAAAAAATAAATTTTAAATCATTGCTATATATATATATATATATATATGAATGAAAACTGATTGATGCAAATCCTAAGCTGACTAATAGATTTTATTTTATAGCTCAACGTCTTACGCATTGCGTCATTACGCGTCGGTGTAATTGCGTCGGCGGATAGATTTATGTAGTTACGAGCGAGATGATTTCGAGATAGATGGAACTGCCGGTACACATCTTTCTCAATGGCATAACGTTCTCGGGCAGGTAAATGAGATGACGCATGTAGACACGTGCTACGAAAAACAGATGGTTTATCACCAGCTCCGGTTCCATTAATGGAGAAATGTTCATCGCTTCCATTCGACGAAGAATTAATTTGACGAATGAAATTGGCGAACAAATTGCTTTATCGTGCACGACTTGACCCGATTTTCAAATAATTGAAACTTCTTGTATTTGTTTTTCTTTAAAAATTAATTACAAGAATAATTTTGCAAAAAAGGCAATAATCTCGCACGGTTTTTATTATATAAAAATTGTAAAAAGAAGATGTAAAAGCATATATATCGATTTCTTGTTATTAATGTAATGTATGACATTATTACTAATTATTACTATTATATCAATTATTTTACTATCATAAATTATTCATTGAAAAATTGATCTATTCGAAAATGTGACATCTAAGGAAAAACATTTATCCAACACTATATTAATTTGAACTCACTTTGCTGTCGCTCATTTTCCATTGTGTCAAATTCACACTTGTCAAATATCTTCGCAATAATTTCTCCAAAAATGTTAATCAATTTTAAAAATTAATTTTTGTAGTACTTCTAATATACTTTGCACAATTCGCAAACGATTTTCACCGGTTACATTTTCTCAGTAGAACGTAATACACAGTGCGTCACACTTTACGCATTGGTCAGCGTGTCGAGCTGTACTGCTATGTAGCTCGGAAAGGAAACTCAGCTTGCGACAACTATATACCATGGGGACTTAACCGCGCAGAAGCCGTCGATAAGGAGCTTCCGGCTGGCGAAATCGGAGCGAAGTAAGCTCTCCATACATACGGGAAGAGAGAAAAAGAGCCCACTTTTCGACGTGGAAGTGCACCTGCGATCGGGTTCTTAGATCGGAAAAGAGAAAGATATACTGGCCCGGATGCATGTGCATGTGCATGCGTTCTCTCTTTTCCTCTCGTCTGGAATTTTTCTGGACGCGACAATCGATTTCCACGATTGCAACGCTGCGCGTTCTCAACGCGAATGTAGAAAACGAACTGGAACGGAAGAAAGACATGCGTGGCCGTCACACAAATATATCGATTGTTTCCGGCCGTCCTTCTGGTTTCTTTTATCTGTTGTAGCAACATATCTGATTTATTTCGCGCGCGTGTATACGCACGTGTGCATTCATTCCACTGTGTTAACAAACGAATCAGCTTTGGAAAATTTCAAGAATTTCGAAAATATCGCGAAAACAATCTGAAAAATTGTCAAAGAGAGAATTTTGGAAAACATTTTTTTCATACTACACCAAGATTTTTTAAATCTGCGATGCCTGTCGATGTTATGCGAACAATTACTAAAAATTTGTAAATAAATGTATTTCTCTCTTTTAAGAAATTAATCTTTAGAAAAATTTCTTTTTTTTTTAAATAAACCATTGATGTAACTTTTTAATAGATTTTATTTTTTATTAAATATTTATTTATTAAATATATAAACAAGAAATAATTTTTTATACTAACATTATTGTTTTTTTTTTTTTTATTACAGATTGTTCTCCGGCTATCAAGATTTTCCTATTATCTAATTATAATCTACAATTCTACTTTGCTGTAATGGTCTTAACAGATTTCTTTGGACATCGGACAGTCACGTAAGTAGAAAAAGAAAAGTATATTATGGATCGCATAAATGCTATGACCAAGGCTATGACAGTGTTATGCTATAACAGTATTGGAAAAAATGTGTTTTCTTGGATTTAATCTCCAGTAAAATATTCAATAAATATCTCAAGAGCTTACGCTCTTTATTCCTTAAAATGAGTAATCTCAAGAAAGTCTTAACTATACAATAAGAAAAATTAATTAAAATCGTTGTCAAAAAATCAATAACAGATTTGTCAATCTCAATCGTCATGAAATAGGTAAGAAAAATATACACTGGTAAAAAAAGAAACGAAATAAAGTATTTTTCTAACATATATAAATTACAATACCACTTCTTGACATAATTAACATAATTGAATTGATAGAGAACATATAAATCATGATGCCTGGTTTAATTTTCAAATGGAATAATCTGAACCGGT